AGGCCACAGTGTACAGCTTGGGGACAGATTGAGATGGGGGCTCTGGAAAAGGAAGGCTTTCCAAGTGGCAAATACAGCTTCAGCATAGATGCAGAGGTGAAAATTAACAGCACAGGTCTAGGGATGAGCCAGAGCACTGAGTCCACCTCTTGTCCCCCAGTCTAGGTGGTGGCAGAAGAGTGCCAGAGGCAAGCAGAGGGAGCAATGGTTGGTCCTGACGGTGGCTGAGCCCCCAGCCCCTGGAATATGCAGCCCGGAGGAGCCCCAGGCAAGGACGCGGTGGCGGAGTGGGGCGGGAGGCATGGTCTCCACCTACCGGGTGGCCGTGCTGGGGGCGCGAGGTGTGGGCAAGAGTGCCATAGTGCGCCAATTCTTATACAACGAGTTCAGCGAGGTCTGTGTGCCCACCACCGCCCGCCGCCTCTACCTGCCTGCTGTGGTCATGAACGGCCATGTGCACGACCTCCAGATCCTGGACTTTCCACCCATCAGCGCCTTCCCTGTCAACACACTGCAGGTAAGCTGCCCATGTAGGCTGTCAGGCAACAGGACCGAGGAGGCTCCAACCCTCTCTAGCTCTCCAGCTGTGGCTCCACTTCCAGGAGCTCTACACTACACCCTGGGCCTCCCTCCTTAAAACCATCCCAAGAAGCTGCTCGTTTGTGTGCTAGTGAATTTCGAAGATGTTTGATGATTGTTTAATGTGTGCCAGGCCTTGCACTGGGCACCAGGACTGAATGGTCAGCAAAAATCAGATATGGAATTTGCTTTCAAGGAACTCCTAGTCTGGTGAGAAAAGACTAGCACACAGTTGTTATACAATGTAATGAATACTGTGATTGAAGGAGATGAGAGAGCTGGAGCTGCCCTGGCTGGAAGGGTCTCACATACTCAGGCGTATGGGGTCATGGAAGGTGATGTCGCAACAAAATAGAGACAGTGGAAGATGAGCAAATAACACTGTTTATACATTGAGCCTGTTTATACACTGAGCTCTCCTGCCATGGCTTTACACCATCATTTTCAACTGTAGAGGGTCAGCAGGACAGACCGAGACCTGAGAAGGGGTGTTCTCAGTGACTCTGGAGACCCCAATCAGATCTTTGGCCCAAGGCCTTTTCTCTCAGGTACCCTATTCCCCAGCCTCAGGACTACCTCTGGGCCCCTTGCAGAATTAGATTTCACTATCTCCATTACCTGCATTCCTCAGGCACCTTCCCCAGCTTTTAGAACAAGGGCCTCTACACCTCTCTCCCCCTCTGGCTTGAGAGGAAGTTGGCTGCAGGGGAAGCTGAGCTCCCAGATGTATTTGCTCACTGTAGATTTCTCTGGCCAGAGAAGCTTATGGGCACATCATAGAGACAAGGACGAGCCATCTCTGGGGGGCCTGATTGAGTTCAGCAGTGTCTCAGCTATCCCAACAGGCGGACCTTTGACTCAGCACCTGAGAGAAACCTGACCAAGGCATGTGGTCCAAGGTATGCCTGAGAGGTCAGGGCAGTGAGTCCCAGGCCAGCATCTTCTGCTTCTCACTTGGAAACATTGATGGAATCTGGCTCCAAGCCCAAGTTTCTCCTTTCACTTTCAGCTGTATATTCATCTTTACTAATTTTAGAATGGGTCAGATGCAGTTTAAATACCTGAACTGTGGCCTAGAGCAATCTGTGTCCTGCCTCTGTCCCTTCACCCAATGGTTTCTCTCCCTAGCCTATCTCACTGATGGGTCATTGGCACTCCAGTTAGAAACCATATTTTCTTTTTTTTACAATTTATCTTTTAAATTTTATTTGCATTGGTGTTTTGTCTGCGTGTATGTCTGTGTGAGGGTGTCAGATCTTGGAGTTACAGTCAGTTGTTAGCTGCCATGTGGGTGCTGGGAATTGAACCCAGGTCCTTTGGAAGAGCAGTCTGTTCTCTTAACTGCTGAGCCATCTCTCCAGCCTCAAGAAACCATTCCGTTTCCCCATTTCCATAAAAATAAACTCCATGTCCTGTGCCTTGTTTGGGGTTGTGGTTGTTGTTTGATACTTAGGATAGAACCCAGAGTCCAAGTTAGCACTCAACTGCCAAGCTACACCCCCAGATTTCTACCTTGTTCTGTTCTTATTAAGAGACAGACAGAGGCACTATGTTGTCCAGGCTGGCCTTGAATTTGAGTAGCTGGGATTAGCGACATGCACCTCCAAGCAGGGCCTGTGCTTCTTCAACTTACCATTTCGGTTTTTGTTTGTTTTGTTTTTGTATTTGTGGGGGGATTGTTGTTTTGTTTATGAAACATGGTCTTTCTTTTTTCTTTTCTTTCTTTCTTTCTTTCTTTCTTTCTTTCTTTCTTTCTTTCTTTTTTTTTTTTCAAGACAGGGTTTCTCTGTGTAGCTTTGGAGCCTATCCTGGCACTCGCTCTGGAGACCAGGCTGGCCTCGAACTCACAGAGATCCACCTGTCTCTGCCTCCCGAGTGCTGGGATTAAAGGCGTGTGCCACCAACACCCAGCTGAGACACGGTCTTTCTATGTAGCCCTGACAGTCCTGGAACTCATTATATAGACCAGGCTCAAAGAGATCCATCTGCCTCTGCTTTCCAATCATGGGATTAAAGGTGTTCGCCACCACCTTAATATTACAGCTGAAGCTACTGTTTCCTGTCCCTGTCTGAAGGACATCCTCATTCTTCTCTCATGACTACTCCACTATGAAATTTCACAAATTCCCCTCTTATTGGACAAATGGGTGGTTTTCACTCTTATACCATTTGGGTCAATGCCAAAATGAATAAACAGCCTCATGTATAAGTCAGTTTGCACGAAGGTCACTATATTTGCAGGATCAGTTATTGGAAATGGCATTGCCGGTTCAAAATATAAATAGATAAGGAATTTGGAAGGTGTCTCCAAAGTCCCTTCTCTGAAAGTTGTATGTGTATCCTATGAAATTCTGGGATTTTTGACACTCTAGAACAGTGGTTCTCAACCACTGAGAATATGGTAGTGTATTAGCTATCCTGCATAACAGACATTTATATTATGATTCATAGATAAATTATAGTTATGAAATAGCAACAAAATAATGTTGTGGGGTCACCACAACATGAGGACTGTTTTAAGAGGGTCACAGCATTAGGAAAGTTGAGAACCACTGGTCTAGAAGATGAGAGAAGATATTCTTGGTGTGGTCTGTATTGTGAGTGAAGTTGTGCATTTTTTTATATAATTAAGGCTTTTATGATTCTGGCTTTGTTTTTTTTCCCTGAGAACTATGTCATGTATCTGTTTGGGGTTTGTATTATTGGGGATTCGTTTTTGTTTTTGAGACAGGGTCTTGCATAGCTCAAACTGATCTGGAACTTTTTCTATAGCCAAGGATGACCTTGAACTCCTAAACCTCCAGCCTCTACTTCCCAAGGGCTAGGATGAAAGGCATGCAGCACCATGCTTGTGTGATCCTCCTCCTCCTCCTGGTTTTGAGACAGGGTCTCTCTCTACATTCATAGCCCTGGATATCCTGGAGCTCAATATATAGACCAGGCTGGCCTCCAACTCTCAAGTGCTGGGCTTAAAGGCATTCGCCACCACACCTGGTGACCTTTTCTTCTTGATTGACCCTTGTATTAGATGCTAAAATCTCAAAGATTCCACTCCTGGAGCACAGTTACGGGGCTTGGAGTATAGAAGTCCCAAGAAGGTACCTTGAAAGCTCTGTGATCAAATATCAACCTTAAGAATCTTGATGGCCACTTTCTAGGAATAAAATAAAGTAATACTTCCCTGAGTCTGAGCCTGTTACCTTCCACGGTCCCTTCTTCTTCAGAGAAGGAAGCTGAAGTTAGAGGGCATGTACAGACTGCCAAAGGAGATGCCCGAAAACACATGGCTAAGACCAGGTGACTGAGCCCCTCAAGCTATCTCCCTGGAGCTAGATTCAATAGCCATTTCTCTTCCTCTGTCTCAGTCTTTGTCAGCTATGGGCTGGGCCTGGGGCTTTGTGTGTGATAAACAATTCCTTACCACTGGGCTGTGTGTTCAGTCCATCCCTTGACTCCATACAGCCCAGAGATGGCCTCTGGGGGAATAAATTAGAACGCTACAGGAATACACTAGCAGGAAAGCTGAGCTTTCTCCATTCCTCCCTTCAGTCAAGGAGTGGAGGGACAGCCCAGCCAATCTGGAGCTTTCTGCTGTTCCCTTTTAGAAGCCTCCTGAGAGAAGTGAGTGGGAGGCATCCTGGGGTCTCCTTGAGGAGGAGGAGGGGTGGGGCTGTCACCCTCAGAGTCTGGCAGGCTGTCTCCAGCAGCCCAGCAGAAGGCTTACAGAATGGAACCTATCCTCCCTCCCTCTTCCTAGGGGTCTCCAGTCCTCATGTGAGATGAAAGAGGAGTTGCATAGGCATGCAGACCCCTGACCCCCCCCCAAGGTAATGGTGTCCCACCAAACCCAGTGTTCCCTGGTCTGGGAGGAAGCAGGTTTATGATTTTCTACATTCTTAGATCTGTCCTCTGCATCCTGCCTCTGCACCAAAAATTAAAACCTCAGCACAAAAATGCCACATCATCTCCCCAGGGAAACCCACTGCAGCATCTCCCAAGTCTTTGAGCTGGAAGTGCTGTTCTGAAGTCAGACTTCACAGTCCACAGCTGACACCCAAGTCTGCCCCCTTCTACTTCAGCTGAAACTTTTACCTCGACCACATGCAAGCTATGCCTGGAGCTATGCCTCCCCATCCTTCTGGCCTTCCTTTTTGTGTGTACTGGAAATGGAGCTCAGGGCCCCACACATGCCAGGCTGTACCTTGCGACTGCACTGAGCCCCTTTCCTCCCCTTCTTTTCTGGGGGCCCTCATGAGAAGAGACCCTGGATTCCTTTGCCCCCACAGGCCTCCCTGAGGCTTCGGGGACCTCATTTCTGCACACTGTCTTCCTGAACAACCTTTTGCAACTACATCTGTTGGCAGATTAACTGTCTAATTAATCCTTAGGGAACCTTCTCGTTAGCACATTTAGCCTTTCCAAGGGCCTATTCATCTTGAGCTGAAGCCCCTCCATGATTTTAAAGATATTCAGATAGCTAAGCTAGGCATGGTGATGCATGCTTGTAATCCCAGCATTTGAGAGGCAGAGGTGGGAAGATTAAGAGTTCAGGGTTAGTTTGGGTTTCATAGGAAGATTTAGTCTTTAAAACAAAACAAAAATAGCAAAACAAAGCAATCCCGGCTTCCTGGAACTCCTTAGGCCTCTGTTATGTCTCTGTCTCTGCCTTTTCCATTCAGGCTGCAACCCAAGGGCTGTTAAATTAGGGACAGGATTTACCTTGCTCCTGGTTGCGCGTGCTGTGGGGTTCAGCACCACGGAGAGAGCTAAAACAGCAGGATTACTGCAGTTAAGAAGCTAAAACCCCATTAAACAAGGGACAGAAGGAGTGAGTGTGTAAAAAGAAAACCAAAAAAAAAAACCAGGGTCCTGGCCCTCTTGGGTGCTCACTGCAGTTGTGAAGAAACAGAAATAGGATAGCTGTAACCAGGGTATAATCCAGGATCTCGGGCACAGGAGATGATGGGCACAGTCCTCCGCTTGCAGGAAGGGTGGCAAACCATCTGAGCCTTAGAAAGATATTATTACAGTCGGTACAACCACTAGGTCAGGGCTGTGCTCTTAGAGGAATTCATAAATGCACTTTGAACAAAGGACTGGATGGATGGATCACTCGGACGTAATCTCCAGATCCTCACAAGATAGTGTGGTGGGCCAGGAAGTCAGCCAGCCTATGACTTACTTGCTCTCTCCTAGCTGGGAGGGCAAGTTACAACCCTGAGCACCTGTGTTCGTGGGGATCCTAGCCTTCTACAGGGGAGGGTGTGGTGGTAGGTGAGAGCACTGTATGTTTGGCAGGGTGGCTGGGGGCTGGGAGGCCTGGTGGCTGCTCTGACTGTGGTACTGGCCGGGGGTGTTGCAGGAGTGGGCAGATGCCTGCTGCAGGGGACTCCGGAGCGTCCACGCCTACATCCTGGTCTATGACATCTGCTGCTTTGACAGCTTTGAGTACGTCAAGACTATCCGACAGCAGATCCTGGAGACAAGGTGAGGAGCTGTGACAGTCTATTGCTGCCTCGACAGATGCCCTAAAGCTAGCCTGTCTCCAAAAAAGGGGGACACAGGCAAGGCGGGGGTGGGGGACTGGGTCACAGGTGAAATGTATGCGTTTTCTGGTTCCTTTTTTTTTTTTTTTTTTTTTTTTTGGAAAGGGTTTCACTATGTAGCCAGGCTGGTTTTAAACTCAAATTCCCTCTGCCTCCAGCCTCCTAGTGCTGTAATTACAGGTGTGGGTCACATACCCTACTCATTTTGGGACCTCTACCAATGAAGTGACTACACTAATGATGAAGAGCAGGGGCTGGGGGTACATGGCCTCGAATCAGTTGACATGTATGCCTCAGTTTCCTTGTCTGTAAAATAGACTTTTTTGGATCCAAGGACGTACTCTTTAGAGATGTAACCTTCCCCAAGGGACTGGGGCTGCACTTGGAACCGAGTACACGCTAGCGCGGAGTCCAGTGGTTTCGACACTGGCACCATCTTCAGATTTCTGCTTCGACCCGCAGGGTGATCGGCACCTCGGAGACGCCCATCATCATCGTAGGCAACAAGCGTGACCTGCAACGCGGACGCGTGATTCCGCGCTGGAACGTGTCGCACTTGGTGCGAAAGACCTGGAAGTGCGGCTACGTGGAGTGCTCGGCCAAGTACAACTGGCACATCCTGCTGCTCTTCAGCGAGCTGCTCAAGAGTGTGGGCTGCGCCCGCTGCAAACACGTGCACGCCGCCCTGCGTTTCCAGGGCGCGCTGCGCCGCAATCGCTGCGCCATCATGTGACGCCGCGTGCGCCCAGCTGCAGCACTGTCCCAGTGGAGGGGAGGGCAGGGCGGGGCCAGCCTTCCTCGGGGACACCTGGGCTAGAGCGGGGATCCCCTCCCCCCCGAGGAGAACTCTAGGCTCCCGGCCTGAAGCACTCCGGCAGCCACACACCTCCCCACGAGAATCAGAGGGCGAGAGGGAGCCTCCCTGCTACTCCCCAGTCCTTCCCCCACACCTGGGTCTCCCTGGACAGCTACCTTCAGTGCTGTAGTGTAGTGCTCGGCCCCAGGGGGCGCCACAATCTGTGGGCTGAGGGGTAAGCGGATGAAATGGTGGGTGGGGTGAGGAGGTGCTGTCTTGGCCGGGCCCCTGCTCATCTTCCCCAGAGTGTGTCTGTCTTTGCCCCGTGTCCCCTTTTCCAATGTCTGTCCTCTCAAGTGTCTGTCCATCCTCATTTTTCCTGTCTTCCCTCCAGTGTCCCTCCCTGTCACCCAGCTCCGCTCACAGGGCTCTCATTTCGTTCATCCCCTTGTCGCAGGTCCTGGCAACTTTGTGATGCCAGGCCTTCTCACCGGCAGCGCCACCGGCACAGGGCAGAGAGATGCAAGTGGCCCAAGGACCGAAGCCAAGGGGTCCAAGGGCTGAGGTTCCACAGCCGTCAGGGAGAGAAGGCAGAGCTCTCCCTCATCTAGGGAGACCTCGCTGCCCAGCAGCCCCCAGAGACGCAACCACCTACCTTCCAGCCTTAACTCAATGGTCCCTGCCGGGTGCCCCTCACCCTTCCTGACCCCAAAGCCAGATGGCCCCCCGGGCTAAAATTCCTTTTGTTGTGTTTGACTGTGGAGAGGAAATTTTCCCAAAGGATAATTTTCTCTCCGTGATGCTAGGTCCTATTTCTCTGTTACCTCCTGCACTGGGATGGTCTGCTATGCTGTGGGATGTTGAGTTGTGGGGGACTGGTGGTGGAGGGCAAGGTGGTACCCAGGTCGGGTTATGCCGGTGGTAATTCTGTGTTCCAGTCCCGCCTCAGTCCAACTGCCTAAGACTCTGCCTCCATCAGGTCTCAGATTGTCTTGATCAGTCTGTGTAGGGGCAGAGCCAAGAAAGAATAAGGTAGCTTTTTGTGCCTGGGGGAGCTAGGCATGCATCCCCACCCTTAGGTGGAGGCCCTCAGGATTGGACCCCTTGTTCCAACACCAGGTTGGCCCTATGCCCTAACTCACCCACCCCATTTTCCCCGGCTGCCTGGCCGGGTTTCTACCTCTCGTCACCGGAGCTGATCACTGTCAGTTTTGTACCGATTTAGAAATAATAATCACGGAGATTCTAGGAATGGCCTGAGGGATTCATGGGGGACTTGGAGGGAGAGAGGAAGGAAGAAGTGGTGCCACGTCCCCTGCCCTGGCCCAAGAGAGTTCTTGAGGCTGAACCCTCAGCCTCATCCCTGGTCCAGTTGGGAGGATAATAAGGACCCTTTGTTAAGAGGGGTACATAGGATGCCCAGCATTTTCCAGGGCTGCAGTACACAGACCAGGAAATCAGGTACCCAGAGAGGTGATGGGGAGGAATCTGGGGGCGGGGGCGGGGGTGGGGAATTTATGGTGTTCCCGTGTGGGAGGGAATCCATGATTCTCTTATGCTTCCCCTACTGAATCTCACTCCCTCCACCCAGCGCGGGCACTGCAGTACAACAGCAGCAGCCCTGACGTGGGCAACCCAGCGTTCTGGGTTCTAGTCCTTGCTGTCCTGCACAATTTTGGGCTAGTGACTTGCCCTCTCTGAGCCTCCCTCTGAAGCAGAGGTGGTGGCTCCCCTTCCCCACACTTCGGAGTGGCTGGGAGGGTAAGGAGGAGAGATGCCCACTTTCCTCTCCTGCAACTCCACCCCCTGGTTCCGCAGGGCGTGGGGTAAAGATGGCAGCATCTCATGTGCCCGATCACCCCCCAACTCTGAGGCACTTGAGGTGAGGGTGGGGGATCCAGGCCTCTGGCTGCCCTCCCCACTGGGGGAGCCATTGGAATGTAGCCGCCCTCACCCTTTCCTCTTCATCCCAGGTCTTGGATTTCAGGTCCCTCCACCCCCATTCTGAGTCTCTGTCCTCCCCCTCCCCAACCAGGGTTTCCCACACAGGGTCTGGAAGTGTGTGTGACACCCATTGAGCTGTTATTGGAAGTCAGATTAAAAATCAGGGAATGTTTTCCCTTGTTTCTCTACCTCAGTGTCAGCTCTGTTGCTCATGGAGGGAGGATTGGGTCCCTGCAATGCACATGTGCTGTGTGGAAAGAGTGGGGCTCCCCACCCCAAAGTCCAGGCCAACCCAGGGATCAAAGGGAAATGGTACTGGACATAACTGTTTTCCCTCTAGCTAATCACCAACACACAGAAGGCACCATCACCTGCCTTCACAGCTGCCTGGATGTCTTGTTCCTAACTGCTTCTGCCCTCTTCCTCCCAGGCAGGGGTTAAATTCAGGGCTTTCAAACATAGCTTCTTAAACACAGAAATATGATGGATGAAGTCAACCTACTCTCTTCACCCAGAGTTATCCCTGTTCTCAGGACCAGATGCAAATCCACATCAAGGGTGGCCTTCAGAAGCCTGCTTGGAGCCACCGTCGTTGTCGCTGTCCATGGTCCTGACCACCAGGACCTGGTAGGAAGCCTCCCTTGCTGACAGCTCCCTCCACCTGGTCCCCATGACCTCCAGCAGGGACAATGTTTGAAGGTGCACCTCTCTACACTTCTACCTACAGCCGTAGGGAAAGGACCCCAAAAAAGCTGAGGCTCCAGGACAGACCCATGTTTGTTTAATAACTTACAGCTGTGGAAATGTCCAGAGGCTGAGGAGCTACTCATGGGGGCAACAATAAGATATGGTCTCTCCCCACCGCCGCTGGCTTGCAGTGGACAGTGTGAGCTACCCTTTTGCTCAGCTGAAAAGATGGGATTTTCAGACCCACTCCTGGCCAAGGCCCTGTGCTGAGTGAGGGGCCATCCTTCCTCACCTCATACGTTTTGCAGTGGTTCTTCCCATCTTCAGACTCTTTAGACCCAAGACTCCTCCTCAGGTGGAAGTGGGGTTCCATCAGGCTGCTGAGTCTCCTGGCTCTCTGAAGCTTGGGAGCTGTTCTTCAATGAGATTCTGACGTCTTTCTTTTTCTCTTCCTCCTTTTCACCTGCTTGATCCACCTGGCAGGTGTGCCCTTCCTTGCCACCCAATGTAGCTTTCAATAGCCTGCTTCCAGGAGTTGTCCTGGCTGGACGTAGGCAGAGGTAGGTCAATGGCTTGGGAATTCTGGAAGGTCTTTTCTCAGGCCTGTGGTCTCTGCGGGGCCGGATCCTGGGTCTTAGCTTCAGCTTGTAAATGGATGGGATCTTCTGGGGCTTCCGGAGAGTTCTCTTGCCTTTGCCCAGACATACCCTGGCTTTGTCAGAACTGGGTTCTAAGCATGAACTTGTGGGAGCCTCCACGGTGGCAGGCACAGTTAGGGTAGATGACACAGTTCTTACTGGAGTTCCCTTGGCAATCAGGCTTGCCTTTGTCCTTGGCCCACTCTCTCTGGATCCTAGCTTCTCTTTAGGGCTTTTTGGGTTCACAGCTGGCTTAGGGGGAGCTTCAGAGCCTACATTCCAGGCTTTCAGATCCACTTTAAGGAGAGGTGGGGGCCCCTGAACCAGTTCTTGGATGACTTTATCATAAGGACCCCCAGACTCTGGCCACCTCCCACCTAGGCTGGGAACATAGACTCCACTTCGAGGGATAACTTGAGACCTTGTACCCTGATTACAGGCAGCCCCCACCTCCAGCAGTTTCATGTTGGCCACAATCTCCTCTTCAAGGCTATGGTAGAGGGCTTCCTCTCTAGTCCTGTCCAGGGGCAGAGGGGTTTGCCTCCCCTTCCACTTTTGTGTGTCCAGGCTCCCGGGATCCTCAGTCTCTGAAGTGATCTGGATGTCCACCTGGTGGTCCTCATGGCTTTCTTCCATAGAGTGATGCCCATGTTTGGATCTATCCAAGTTCCCTGTGATTACCCTTGATGGGATGGGTCCTCTCTCTATGGAACCTCCACTTTCAGCACCCAAAACACTTCTTCCTGGAGTTGGGGGTTGGGCAGGGGACAGCCGGATGGGGATCTTGGTAAACCCTTTGCTGGGGGGTGGGGACTGAATAGACACGGGTTCACTGAGCTGTGGAGAAGCTCCCCGATGATGCAGGATCCAGAATCTGTGAGGATTGGCTAGGCTGGAGGAACGAAGTGGGGGAGATGGTCCTCTTGCTGATGCCCCTTTACTGGTGGCCTCAGGGATTTGGAGCCTCTGAGGGGTGAGAGCCATGGTATGTGTTCCTCGGCTGTCTGTTTCCTTGTGAACCCAAGATGTGGGAGTCCTTCCTCTGGGCAGTTCACCTGGGCATCTATTCTCTCTCTTTCCTGACAGGGTACTTCGTAGGACTGGGCTCCTACAGGTAGATGAGAATTGGGGACTGGGTGACAACGTCCTCTGAGATGGGGTCATTGGCCTCTCTTGGGACCTGCAAAGGAGAAAAACAGTCTAGAAAGAGAGACTCCGGACCATCAGAGGCATTTCCCGTGGGAATACCACGGGGTACTAGAGAACCAGTGTTCTTCCGTAGGACAGACCAAGAAGTTCCTATGCAGCCTTTCTTCCTGCCTGTTCTCCCTTGTTCCCCGTGTAGCAGATAGAAGGTGATTTCAGAGGAAGATTCCAGCCCTTAAGACTGATGATCAGAGGCTATCCATATTTGGGACTGGTCTCAGTCTTACTCATGAAATGGAAGGACAGTGAATATGGACATTCCTTTTCTGGGCCTCAGTTTCCTTGGCTACAAAATGGATAGCTATTTGGAGCAACTAGATGATCCTTAAGCCCTGGGTACTGTTTTGATCGTAAACACCTGAAGCTTTGTTGTGTTCTGTGGCCCTGGGCTGTGGAGTTCAGGGCCTTGTGCATACTAGGGGAGCATTGTCCCATTGAGCTATATAACCCTTGTCTTTTAAATTTGGTTTGTGATGTGGCCTCCCAAAGTAGCCCAGGAAAGACCTAAATTCACAGTCCTCCTGTCTTGGCTGCATGAATGCTAGAACTATAGGCAAATGCCACCACACCTGGCATATGTGAGGATTTGTTGGGGTAGGACATTGTTCCCTTTATATTGGTGAATGAGCCACTGAGACTATGGAGGAGACATTACATGTCCCTGTCTTGTACCTTAGTAATGGGGCCATTTCTCTGAGGGTCCTGCTCCCTCCTCCCCGTTCACCATGGGGTAGGGGAGAAGAGGGAGTGAGAGGCCTCAGCTTTCGGCTAGAAGAGGTGTATGTCTTCCAGTCCACTGGAGGCAGTGGGCTCTGGGAGCGGCTGATGGTCATTGTAGGCTGGGGCTGTGAGGGCCCATCCTGCACCTTCACTTCATGCTGCACCGGTGGCCCTGGGGGCTTCAGGAAGCTGCCTGGTTTGTGGGCTACCAACAAAGGCCCCCAGAGAAAGCAGAAGAAAGGTTCAATTCCTGTTTATGAAACTCATTGTCCTTCCTCCCCATGCTGTCCAGTTCTTCTTATTCCTCCTTATAGGCCCCAGAACCTATAGTGGCAGTCCCAGTGTCTACAAAGGAGCTCGGGGGACACAATCTGGTCAGAAAGCCCAATATCGGGATTTGCTGAAAGCTATGTTGTATTGCGGATCTCAAACTTTTATTCAAATTGTATACTTATTCGGGGTTACTTGACGTACTGAAGAGGATGGGGGAAGGACTGAAAACCTTCCAAGTCAGATTTCAGGCCTCCAGGGTAGATTCCAGGCCAGACCTGAGCTCTACTGAACTTGGCCTCCGCTGTCTCTGCGTGCCTTGCGTGCCACCTTGTGGTTATTTGTACTATTGCGCCACGTCCTCCTCGCTGTCTTTACCCGCAGTTTCCGCACAGCTGGAGCCTCTGGCGATCAGGCCTATTCGCCCTCTCACATATGGCCTCCCAACCAGGGGCTATCTCTCTCTAACCAGCCCCACAGGTAAAAACCCTTGGGGAACTCACAGAGGGACGTACACCGGCAGGGGTCATGTTTGTCCAGATAATGGCCCAGCGTGTCCCAGCCGCCCCCAACACGCACCATCACGTGACTCCGGAGGATCTGAGAGGGCAAAGGTGAGAGTAAGAGCTGAGTGGAGGGCTGGAGAGATGGCTCAGAGGTTAAGAGCACTGGCTGTTCTTCCAGAGGTCCTGAGTTGAAGTTCCAGCAACCACATGGTGGCTCACAACCATCTACAATGAGATCTGATTCCCTCTTCTGGCATGCAGGTAGAATACTGTATACACAATAAATAAATCAATCTTAAAAAAAAATTTCAGAGAGAGAGAGAGAGAGAGAGAGAGAGAGAGAGAGAGAGAGAGAGAGCTGAGTGGAGGGCATCCCCTATTCCTGTATACTCCTTTAAACACGTTTGTGATTGGGAGACAGTATATTTTTCTGTTTAATCTTACCCATGACTGCATCCAACAACACTTGTCAAGGGTGGGAGCCAAACTGGCAAACAAGAAGTTGTGTGGGGACACTCTCTTTGCTATACAAGGATTTGCACTTGTCTCTGCTTGCAATTGATATGGGACCCTCTTGCCTCTGTGGTGTGTGATAGAGATGGTGGGAGTTCTGCCCAACTCTGCAATGAAACAGGTCCCATAGTCTTTCCAGACTTTAATTTCTACAGTTCAAAAGCGGGAACACAAATCTCTGGCCCATACCCACATCACAAGACTATTGTCTCAGGATCTGGGGGGGGGGTGGCTCAGGTTGCTAGCTCTGCTCCCAGGTATGCTCTATGCCCAAGGAAAGGCCTTGGTCATGCCCAACTGCTGACCACATCCCTGAGCACAGATCATCTCTGGGGAGGTGAAGCCAAGCGTGGGGAAAGAGTTAGTGGGAAGCCCGTCTCAGCCCTGTACTGCTTACTCTACGGAATGGACAGGTCCAGGGTCTGAGTTTTGTGCTTTGGGATCCACATGGCTGGGGCCACACACTGAACGCAAACCCAGGTTTTTAGGTCCCTCACTCTGTCCTATCCTGTGGAATGGGAAAGTTAGGGCACCTTTTTTTTTATACACCCTACTTCTGCCTGGGGACATCCTGTAGACTCAGCTCTGATGGAGGTGTTGGAGAGTGGTGGTTCCAGGTACATTGATGGGAGGATGGGATAAGCTTGTCAACTTTGTCTGGAATCTCCTGGAAAATTCCACGGTAAGGGAGAGCCCCCAAGGTCTGGTGACTTGGGATGCATGGTAACTGGCTTCCTGTCCTTGCCCTGGGACTTAGTCAAGGTTCTATTGAAGGAAACCCTATTTCACTGACACCGGATGTCCTTCCACCTTAGGTCTGACTTACCCTGATGAAGATGAGAGTGTTGGAGTCCCCTACTCGGTACTTCCCCTCAGATATCTTGACCATGGAGAATTGCACTGGGCACGTGCAATGACTCACAAGGTTCTGCACCTGTGGGCAATGGCAGAGACTTAGCCCTCTTCTCTACCTGAGTACCCAAGTCCGCTCACATCCTGGATCATTCTAAACCGGGTGCCTTTCTGCCTCTAGACCAGCCCCCTTCCTGGAGGCTGGTGCTGAAGTCAGGGCTGGGGGCTGAGAGGCAAGTAGGAAGAGGAGAGTTAAAGAACCCATAAGAACAACGCCTGGAGCAACCCCCTTGGGTCCTTTTCTTCTTCTGAAGGTGGGATACAGCGGACTATGCTGTTTGACCAGCATGGGGCAGAGTCCTGTGGGAAGGCTAAGAAACCTTCCCAAAGGACTGGTTGGGCTCATGAGTTTGAGACCAAGAGAAGGAAAAGAAAAGAGCAAAACAGAATGGGAGACGAGGCTAAGGGGAGGAGAGAAACAGGGATGGGGCTAGCCTCAGGGAAGTGCCTTCTCCTAAGATGGGACTTTGCTCTGGAAACTGCTCCACGCTTCTCATGTTGATTCACTTAATTCTCACAGCAGTCACAGAAAATGGCTACTGTGCCTCAGTACACTCCAAGCCATGAATGGAAGACCAGAAAGGTTAAATGATTTGCCCAAAGTCACACAGCGGGTGTCAGCTGGTAACTAGGATGCCATGCCCTTAGCACCTAGCCTACAGGGCTAAATGAGGGGTGTCCAGTGAAGGGCTTGTGCAAAGGGGCACAAGTGGCAATAGCCACTGTCACATGTGGTAAGGGTAGGGGTCTGGAGTGGAGCAGGGCATTGAGGACTGGGGAAGAAGAGGGCAGGACACAGGCTGGGCCCGAGGGCATGACTGGGTGCCTCACCATCTGGTCCAGGTTGTGGAAGTGGCAAGGCCTGCGAACAGGGGGTGCGGGTGGTGGCGGATCCGGCGAGGGCAGAGCCAGCTCACACCGCAGCTCCTCATCAATCTCCTCTTCCAGATGTACCAGAGCCGGCGCCGCCACACCGAAGCGCCAGGCGCGGCGACCCAGCTCCAGCAGACACAACAGCACGCTCTTTACGTTCTTGCGCAGCACAAGGTCCTCTGTCTCGAACATCAGCACCTCTGGTGTGAGACAAAGGAGAGAAGGGGACTTCGGTGGCTTAAGTACCCCTCTCCCTGCTAGAGACTATCCCAAGATAGACACAGGAGGGTGGCTCGGGTTTCAGCATCTCGGATTGAGGAGGCGCTTGGTTAAGGGGTCCACACAAGGCAGCCAGGCTAACCGCAAAAGCTGGTGAGTGAGCAAAAGTATTTGGAGCCTGGCTGATGCTAGGGTGGGGAAGAGGACTTCCTCTACCATCTCTCCTCCGATCCACTAAACTACCAAGAAGATCCCAGGAGCAGGAAGCAGTTTCTTCCTCTTCCTACCCATCCTCAGCTCTAGAGAACCAGGCCGACTTGTCTATCGGCTCTGGGTACCTCACCCTAGAAGGCTCAGTCCCAGAATCTCCCAGTGGCTATGTGACCTTCAGCTAGCTCCATTGTCCCAGGTTTTATCTTCTGAAAATTGGGGTGAAGCCTATCTCAACTGGAAGCAGCAGTTGTTTGGGGGTTTTGGTGCTGGAAATGGTACATAGGCTAGGCTACATCTCCAGCCAGATCATTAGCTTGAATAACCTCTGACCCGTCCCCTCGCCTCCTCGCCACCAGCCAGGAGTCCAAACCTGACCTTTTCCCTGTCCTATCCCAATTACCTTTGGTCTGGAGGATTGTGCAATCATGCCTAATCCCATTCCTGGGTTCAAGACAAACAACCGTCACTCCCTGAGCCCTACAAATCCCTGCAGGACTGTGTTCCTCCCTATAGAGTTATTCCCCCACCCCTAACTCTCTTCCTAGCCTTTAGTCCAGCGGTTCTCAGCCTGTGGGTCACAGCCCCACTGGAATTGCACATCAGATATTTATGTTACTATTCATAACTGTAACAAAATTACAGTCATGAAGTAGCCACAAAATAATTTTATGGTTGGGGGTCACCACAACATGAGGAACTGTATTAAAGAGTCACAGCATGAGGAAGGTTGAGAACCGCTGCTTTAGTCCGTTGTGCTCACTGGCCAGCTTCTCCCAGTTATCTGTCTGTCTTGTGCTTTGCCACTGCTCCCCACTGCCTGGTTGATTCCCTTCCCCAAACTTCTTTCCTTAGCCCAAATCTCCTCCCTCTTGATGCCCTTACTGGTGCCCACTACTCTATCATCAAGCACTGGTTCCCATTCCGGATCCTATGTGATACTCTTGACTTTGAAGCACACATGCCCTGAATGTATCCATCGGTCTGCCTTCCTAGGCCATGCATTCCTGGGCATTGGACCCTATTTGTCTCGGCCCCTGGTACCCAGCATGCACTGGAAACAGAAAAGGTGATTCATCTGTCTTCATGGATTGAATCATTAATAGGTATTTATTGATCATCAGTGTGTGTTTATAAAGAGGCTTTGCTCTGAGGTGAGGAGACCAATGCACCAGAATTGGAGCTACCTCGTGGAAAATCTAGAAGAAAACCTCAACTCCTGACCCCCAGATCTAGCTTAGCTTGAGCCCCCAAGTGATGCATGCCACTACAAGACAAGGGTGTGAGATAGGTGTGTTACCTTGGATGCCCATCTCCTTGCGACACCACTGGATGAAGTTGGAGATGTTGTCCCTGGCCTGGAAGGTGCCTGGCTGAGCAGTCCCATTGCAGAAAACCCCAGCCTGGGGCATGTGAATCTTTTGAGCTCGGTCAGGTGCCTCAGCCAGGAAGGCCAGAGCAGCCTCTGTGACAGTGTTGGCATGCCGGCACAGCACCAGACCAGTCTCCAGCACCTGCAGGAAGTTGGCTGCATCAATATCCAGCCCGTACAGATCCCGAAGCCACTCAGCCAGGTCTTCCTTCACCGCCTCCAGGTACTGCTCACTGGACTTGAAGGACCGAATGCTGCGCACAGGAGGCCCTGGGGTCCTGGGCCTCCTTCTGTGTCCCCTGTGCTGAGACATGGCTGGAACTGAAGTACAGGAGGAAGTGAGAGCCTCCTGTCCTCTACTGCTGTCTCTCTACTCCTGTTGCCTGATAAGTCAAGGTCCTGGCCCACTTCTCCTTGGCTCAATGGGTCCCCTTCTATCCTGTGAGAGCCCAGGGCTTCTGGCTCTGCAGGATGTCAGGCCCAGCCCCCACTGCCCACATTCCTCAGTCCCTGCCTGAGCTTTCTGTTTGGCCCTGCAAGCGACCTCACTCTCAGCACGCAGGGTCCACTCAGTTCAGCACGCCCCCCCCCCACCCCACACTGGTGGAAGTGAGAGCACTCCTCTCTCCCCAGGGTCATCTGATGCCTCCCACCCTGCCTGCCATTGTCACCGGCCAGAGAGCCCGGAAAAGCATCTGAGGCTGTGGCCTCTCAGCTCTGCTTCCTCTCCTTGGAGACAGCAGCTGCTACAAACACTCCTTGTTAACTCTTCCTTCCAGCAGCCAAGGGCCTTTGTCCTGCCCTGATGTCTGAGCAGAGGGAGCAGGGCAGAAAGGGTGGAACAGGGTTCTTTCACCCACTGATTCCTTTGGGGGGGGGCGGGATGGGGGTTGAGGGAGGTGAGGGAGAAGTGAGGAGGTAAGAGCTTTGAGATCCATGAGCACCGGAAAATAAATGAGCACGAGAGACACCGCAATCAAGACAGAAGATAGGAGTTTTGCCCTAAATCCTTTCCGGGGTGGCACACACTCTCCATTCTCCCTGTACCTTAGTTTCTCAACTGTCAAATGAGAAAGACAATTATCTACCCTTCTGGGGTGTTGTGGGGAACAAAGAGTAATATGAGTGAAAACACGAGACCCTCAGAACACACAGGCACAGCCTGGGTGAGCCCCAGCTCTCACCCAGCAGCCCTGTCTACACACTGAGGAATCTGCTGGAGCCCTGCTCCAGTCATGTGATTCTTCTAGAACAGTCTCATCTCCTAGTCACAGCAGTATATTCATTCAACAAAGATTTCTTTTGTTGTTGTTGTTTCTATTGTTTCATTTTTCAAGACAAGATTTCTTTGTATAGATTTGGCTGTCCTGGAACTCACTCTGTAGACCAGGCTGACCTCGAACTCACAGAGATCCGTCTGTTTCTGTATGCCGAATTCGGGGATTAAAGGTATAAACCACCACTGCCTGGCTCAACAAAGGATTCTAAAGCCTCTAAAACATATCTAAAGATATGTACCAGGCACTATCATGGGACTGAGAATATAGCAATAAACGGAAACATCACTGCCTGAACTCTAGAAGCTATTTATACGTTACTGGGTGATGGGTGGTAGATGAGCAAATAAGTCTGGTTAGGGGTGCTGGCACACACTGTAATTTCAGCAGCTGGGAAGCTGAAGCAGGAGGGTTGAGAGTTCAAGGCCAGCCTACATAGCAAACTCAGGTCCAGATCGGAATACATGATAAGACCCTGTCTCAAAAATCAAAAGACGAAACTAATGACAGCAAAACAAATGCATAGTCAGTCAGGTAGTGATAAATATTGGGGGGAATAATACAGGAGAGAGTGGGTGACTTTATAGGAGGGGATATCTTCCATAAAGGCAGGGCCTTGATGCCAAGGTATCATCTGGGCAGAGACCTGAGAGAAATGAGGGCCCACATGAGCCCACATGAGGAATAAGAGCAGCCAGAGCTTGGAGGCAGGAGCATGCTTGGTATGTTCTGAGAATAGCAATACTAAAAAAGAAAGAATAGCAAAAAGAAGGGGCTGGAGAGATGGTTCAGCAGCTCTACCAGAGGACCTGGGTTTGGTCCCCAGCAGCCACATAACAACCATCTGTAACTCCTGCTCTTGGGGATCTGATGCCTTCTTCTGGCTTCCATGGATCTCTGCACACACATGGCATACAGACACAAATATGCATAAGTTTAAAAAACTGTGTGAAGAAAGTGAAGCAGGCTCGAGAGACAGCTCAGCAGTTAAGAGCACTGGCTGCTCCTGCAGAGGACTTGAGTTTGGTTCCCAGCACCCATGCAACAGCTGATGGCTACTGGTAATTCCAGTTCCAGGGGGTCAGACACCCTCTTCTGGCCTCTGCTGGCACCAGCATGCACATGGTATGTACACATATGTAGGCAAACACTCATACACATAAAAATAAAAATAAATAAATCTTCTTTAAAAAAAAAAAAGGACTGGAGAGATGGCTCAGAGATTAAGAGCACTGGCTGCTCTTCCAGAGGATCTGGGTTTGATTCCCACGTGGCAGCTCAGAACTGTCTGTAGCTCCAGCTACAGGTGATCTGATATCCTCCTCTTCTGACCTTCGTGGACACCAGGCCAGGAATCCACGTGGTATATAGGCATACATGCAGGTACGTAAAACAAATGAACAAGTAAAATAAAAATTTTGGAAAGAATACTAAAAAAGAGGATGGACATGTAGTTGAGAAGAAATGAGGCCCCGAGTCAGACAGGACCTGGCAGATGAGTGCCAGGACGATTTTTTTTCCTGAGTGAAATGGCAAATGCACTAAAGTTCCCAGCAAAAGATGAACATGCCCTAATTTGGGCAGCTGTGTGGAGAAACTCCCAGACACACATGTGTAACTGGACAGTATTTGAAGTCCTGGCTGCACCCAAGGAGGAACAGTGGTAGCTTAGACCAGAAGATGACAAGTAGCCACATTCCATGTAGCTCCTGGAGAGTTCATAGGATTGGTCTAAAACAAGTGTTCAACCTTGGCACTCTGAGACTCTGTTAGCTAGTTCTTTGTCATAGAGGGCTGTCCTGAGCACTGCAGGACATTTGTCATAATGCCTGGCCTCTAACCACCAAATGCCCATAGTATATATCCCAGCCTATTACAACATCTAAGGACATCTCCAGCTGTTGCCACATGACTTCTGAATGGCAAAAATCTTGCCCCTTCTCCTTGGGAGCTTCTGCTCTAGGTAAGCATGTGAATTATCCACACAGAGCCCTATCTGTGATTAAAAATAAATCTTGTAAAAAGATTTTCATTTATTTATTATGTATACAACATTCTGCTTCCATGTATATCTGCACACAAGAAGAGGGCACCAGATCTCATAACGGATGGTTATGAGCCGCCATGTGGTTGCTGGGAATTGAACTCAGGACCTCTAGAAGAGCAGCCAGTGCTCTTAACCTCTGAGCCATCTCTCCAGCCCCTAAAAATAAACTTTTAAAATTTATTTTTATCTGTTTAATGTGTGTTTTGCCTACATGTATATATGTGCATACCTGGTGCACATATGTGCATACCTGGTGCCCTTTAGGCTGAAGAGGGTATCAAATCCCCTTGGGCTGTAGTTACAGAGGGTGTGGGTCACCATATGAGTGTTAGAAATTGAACTCAAGTCCCCTAGAAAAGTATCTAATGTTCTTAACTGCTGAGACATCTCCCTGTCCCCTTTCTCTGTGGTTTCTGAATTGGAACTACAAGGACAAGTTCTTTTCCCAAGTGGATGTTAGGGTTTTAGGGATGCAGATGTGAAGCCAAAAGAGATCCCTTTTGCAATAGGGGGAAGGAATCTGGCACACAAACACAGAGGGACAGAGGGACAGAAGACCTTAGGGTACTGGAGTTCTTGTTTTTGTTATCCAATGGCCAACCACTTGTCTACCTATCAGTCAGCCTATCTGCCTGTCAGTCAGCAGGCCAGACAGAAAACAAAAAGACCACCTAAAGAAGTGGCTCATACAGTAGGAAAGACACCCTCCCCAGAGCTTGGCAAATGGTTCTAGGTAGATGAATGGCTCTGTCCATGACATTGTCCAAAGATCTTTCTAGCTTGTGGCTCCTTTCAGCTATTGTCAACACTTACAGAATCAATCCTGGCTTCCCAGTACTTTGTCTTCTCCAAATTTGTAGGAAGAAGATGCAGAGATGATGTGAGCTCTGACAGCTTCCTTTCTAAGGATGTGAAGTGTAAGTTAAACATGTAACTTTTCTTTTTCTCATGCGATTTAGGCCAAGGTTTAGGCACTTGGCTGCAAGGGAGGCTGAAACTGTAGACAGTGGTCATATGTCCTGTCAATATTCTGTAATGGTTCTTTATTAAAAGGAAGAATGGGAGAATGGAGATAGAAGACAATTTATAGTCCCAACCATACAATAGTCCCACAAACAAAGTCTTTATGAGTCTTGGCCAGATAGTTTGTGTAAAAAGCCAGATAGTAAATCTTTCAGCTTTAGATGCCATATACTGTCTGTATTGCATATTATCCTTTGTTTTCATTTTATTTTTTACAACTCATTGAATATGTAGTGCAATATTCATAAAAAATCAGACTGTGTATAGATATAGGATACAACCCTTAAATTATATGAACTCATTTTTTAAAAAACTGTAGTCTTTTTCAGTTCAACGCAATTTCTACCTTAATACCATGTTGGATAGAACATGATTTATTATGAAGATTGAATTCAGGGTCTTATACATGCCAGGCAAATGTCTGACCACCAACCTGTACTCCCTAACTCCAGAATTTATTTATTTATTTATTTATTTATTTATTTATTTATTTATTTGTGTGTGTATGTGTGTGTACATGCACGTGCATATACACACACACACACACACACACACACACGTGTGTGTGTGTGTGTGTGTGTGCATGTGCACGCGCATACAAACCACAGTGTGCATGCAGAAGTCAGAGGGCAACTTTCAAGGGTCAGTTCTATTCCTCTACCATGTGGGTCCTAAGGATCCAACTCAGGTCCCTAGGCTTGGCCACAAGTTCTCTTATCCCCTGCACCATGAGCCGTCTTGCTGGACTGAGCTCAGAGGTTTAAACCTACACACAAAACAGCAGAGAATTGTAGTAGACATTTAGTTAAGTATGAGAGGCAATTGAGTAGACTTGTCTTCCAATTGGAAGAGTTAAGGATGCAAATAAAATGTGAGCTGAGTTTTAAGAGAGAAATAAGAGGATTGGAGAGGTAGCTCTGTAATGAGAGGTTCTTTGTCCTGGCTGGGTTCAGTCACTGCTTCAGC